AGTAGTAGTAGTAATAGTAATTATAATAAATAATACTGGTAATGGTAGTGGAAGTGGAAGTGGCAGTGTCAGTGGTAGTGGTTGCGGTGATGGTAGCGGTTGTGGTAGTGGTCGTGGTGCTGGTAGCAGTAGTACAGTGCAGGTGGAAAGACGGAGAGGAGAAAGAGAGGGGCCAATTTCCTGAGGGGCAAGATAAGGGATAAAGAAACGACTATTTGAGAGGCTTGAGGTACCGACATCTGTCGCAGGGAGTTCATAGTTTTCTCGAGCCGCAAACTTGAGCCATAGCCAGTAGTAGCAGTAGTAGTCGTCGTCGTCCTGGTAGTAGTAACAGCACTGGTAGCTGTACTAGTACTCGTCGTAGTAGTGGTAAAGTAGTAATAGTAGTAGTAGTTGTTGTAGTAGCAGCAGCAGGAGTAGTAGTAGCAGTCGTCGTCGTCATCGCAATTGTGGGCAAAGTGCAGGCGACCACCACCAACATCGCCACCACCAACCAGACGGCGGCGGTGGCGGTGGGTGGTGGGCTGTGGCGAAGGACATGGCGATAGAAGCTCCTGCCATGTGCCAAAAGCTTCCATGGCTCCATGGTTGGTGCCATCTTTCTCTATCCTAAGTTTTGTCGGATAGCTTGCAAGTCAACTGGCTAGCTGACCGCGTCTGAGAGACTGAGCAAGAGACTGTTTCTGAAGGTTGTTGATCTCTGAGATTTTCTTTTCTGTCTGTTGCGTGTCCGGGTGCTCCTTGCCAAGCCTGGGGTCCACACACAAAGGCCACAAAGTGCCGACCATCTGTGAATCCGCAGCCGAGCAGCTTTTCAATCCGCAGCTTGTGCACTAAGCGGAGCCTGCTGGTGAAACAAGGAAAACAACAAGAAGGCATTAGCGCAACACTTCCTAACCTGTAAGCTTTGCCAAGTCGCTGCTCCACGGCCGTGTCGACACGCTTTCCTGCCAACGATACAGGGCTACAATCTTAGACGGGAAAACCTTGCTTCATCAGATTTGAGGACCACTTCGCATTGGGTCCTGTGAGGCTGCCTTCCTCGTGGAAGCATCGGTCAATCCAAGAACAGGCTTGGTTGTGAAGAGATGCCAACGTCAGCGGGTGCCCCTGCCGCGGTGACGGAACATCGCCCCAAACTACCAAATGATACATCATGATAACATATTCCACCACACGTGCCTGTTGCAGAGCAGCTGTGAGATTTTCCACTGCCCGCTCATGGAGCTGCTCGGACTCTGCGAACAGCTCTGCCGAAGGTTCCGGTGCCTGCTGGCATTTACAAATGAACTCTGCGACCGGGACTTGGAAGAAGCTTCTGCCTCCGACAGAAAACGGGCGAAGTTGCTCTGCCTGAGCTTTGCAGTCACGGTGATGGTCGAATGTCAAGGACGCAAGGTTCCTCGACACGGACCCTGCATGGTTGGACAAGCAGGTTTCGCCTTGCACTATCCCTCCTTCAGTTGCTCAGCAAATTGCCTTTCCCCATAGGATGTTTCGAAGTCATGGTGAGGTCTGGAACCGAAACATCGCAGTTTCTGGAGCAACCATTCTCCGACTACACAAGGCTCTTCTTCCCTCTCCATCAGACGAACATGCCCCAGGTCTTTCTTTGACGTGTGTTATTCCGCACGTGAAAGCTAGCTAACAGCTAAGGTTGGTGCGTGTATAGCGTCCTGGGATCCTTTGCCCCGATGGTTGCCTCTCGGCCTTTCACAGCCAAGCCTCAGCCAGCAATGCAGAAAGCGTTGTTTGTCTGCCGACTGCAAGTTGACAAGAAACTGTACAGAGATCGAGCTTCGTCAAAGATCTCGACAGTCAAGGGCCTCCGGTGTGGATGTATCGCGATCGGCACTTGGATGCAACTGAAAGCACGATGGGAGAACGGTTGCCTGCGTAAGCTCAGCAACACGGCCAAGTTGGAGACGCTTTGCAGAGTTTCCTTCGCAGTACAAAACCCTGTGTGCGCACAACCTTGAACCCATGTCACTTCATGCTCTCACGTTCCAGCTGTCTCATGTCAAACGCAAGCTGCACAACTGCCTCGTGGTTCTCTCCAAGAATTCGCCGACGACGCTGCAAGCAGTCTCTGTGCCGCTCCATGGCCTGGAATAGTTGTGGTCATAGTGTCAGACCGTGTGTGGTTGGCAGAACTACTTCTTTTTGATATGACAGTATTGAGGGGACGAGTCCTAAATGCCCAACCGCAGCAAAAAAACCTACCACAACCGCAAAAACAAAACGGTCAACGCAGGAGACAGCTCCTGGACTCCTGTCAGCACAGTCAACACATGTGCAAAGGTTGTCTGCAATCTGCCTGCACCTCGTTCAAGTCGATAGCCAGATCTGTGCTAGTCCCTCCACTCGAATCTCTCCCCAAGCGGCACACAGAAAAACGCTGCCCGAAGGAGAGAAACGGCCAAAGGCCACGCCGAG